GGGTTTGATGTGATAGACCCTGGCATAATTTAGCAATTAGCTGTCTACTGAGCAGAGACATACAACAGGAGGCAAGCTTGCCATTTTGGGGCGCATATCTTACACAATCTACAGCTTCAGGTCACACATCTCACAGCTTCAGAGTCCACAAGAAAGATTTGGCTGGGGCGCCTATGACCTAGGAGCCCTGATCTGACAGTTCCCAAGTTTGGTTTCTGGGTCTGGCTTCTGGCGTGAACTCGCCGTCCTGGAACTCACAACCTTCTAGACAGCAGATTTAAGTCTAGGGCGGCTTTGATGTGATCACCCCTACGCAATGGGGAGCATTTGGCCCGAGATGGTACGAGCCACGTTTTTCGCAGTTCCACAGATCTGACAGCTCTCTTTTCTGGCAAGAGAGGTTGCGGTTGAAGGTTTAAGAACGAAAGCCGTCATAAGGATCCTTGTGACACCTTTCCTGTTCCCCCATAATTGTGATCGTTTCTGGATTTGGAGCCAGCTGCAAATGCGAGCATGTGATGTGGCTTTTTGAAGTTATGACATCATTCTTTTATCACGCTGTGAAAGTCAATTCCGACCATATTATTCCAGGGTTCCATCCACCCACCTCAACTTCAGGATGTTAGCAAAATTTTTCCTGCAAAATTAGGGTGATCCCTACCCGGGAATAATTTACGACGGGAGGGCCCATCAAAAAACTTCCGGCGTGCTGATAGGCCGGCACCCATTGCCCGCCGACCCCGGCCTAGCCAAAGCCTAGGCGGGTTCCGCGCGTGCAAAAGTGGGTTTCGAAGCTGCCGTGTGGCACCCTTTCAAAGCTGCCGCTGGCACCCTTCCACGCCTCTGGTCCGGGCAAGGCCTTGTACTGTGCTTCGAAGCTGCCGTCTGGCGCACTCTTCGCGTCGCAGAACAACATGGGTGCGAGACACACCTTCCGCGCCTCTGGCCATGGCCTTGCCAACTTTACGTTTCGAAGTTGCCGTCTGGCAACCTCTCCGGCTGCTTTGGAGTACCTGCACCCCAAAAATACCCCCTGCCGCCGACCACTCCCGAACCCTGTGTTTCACGGTGGTTTCTGGCCTTCCGACTTTTTGATCGATTTGGATGTGTGTTTGGAATTGAGTCGTGTTCACGTGCCCGCGGTGCGAGATATGCTGCCCAAGTTGGCTTTGCTTCTTCTCTTCCTGTTCCTCTCTTTCTCTTGCTTTTTCTCTTTCTCGTTCTCTTGCTCTTCCTCTTCCAAGAGAGACTAGGAGACAGCGAGAGACCGAGCGACTGAAAGAGCCACAAAGAAAAAGAGAGAGGGAAAAAGAAAGAGAGAGAGAGAGAGAAACAAGAGACACAAACAGAGAAAAAGAACAGAGACACGGAGAGCGAGCGAAAGAGAGAGAGGGTCGAAGGACAACAAACAACCTCTTACTCTTAATTCCCTTCATGCCTGCCGGTTCCCGGCTGTCAGGCGTAAGCCTCAAAACCGTACTATATTTATGATGCAATAGTATCAGGATGTATCAGGTCGGTGTTTGATTCATCTATCACAATCGCATCAACTTAAACATAACAGCACCCTTTCAGAACGGCATAGTTTAAAACCCGTTAAGAGTGCCACATCCATTCACCAGAATCTGTCATGCCTCATCCCGGGTCCAGTCATACCTTCTGAGATACGACCGGAGCCCAAACATGGGAGCATCTGAAGTGGTTCAGAGAGTTTGGTGGTTGAGCAGATGGAACCTCTGTCTAAGACATATTCGTCAGACATCTTTTAGTGCCGATGCCATCTGAAACCACTCTAACAAACGTACCAAGCTTCCGTCTTCTGCCCCCAAGCGACCACGGCGGCACGCAGCTCCCTTCGGTCTGCAAAGGCCACGCGCCCCAAGCCCAAGCCCCAGCAGCTTGGCAGTAGCAACCACAGCTTGGCCCATTGCGATGCCATAGCTGTTCTTGCACAGTTGAGTCTTGAACCAATAGCAACCTGTTTTCCCGGATGGAGAGTAAACTCACTTGCTTCCACACTGGTGACCTCAGTCTTTGATTTCTAGTGGCCCGTTGTATTTCCGTTCAATCGCAGCGGTTTTGCTCGGCATTTTTCACCGGTTTTCCTGTCTTTGAAAGAAATCGAGCCAACTGCTTGCAGCTGGAATTTTGAAGCCTTCCTAATATTCACCAGTGCAGCCTATGTTTACAGGGCAGCTGAGTCAGCTGAGCTTAGGTTTTTGTTCTCCTCCTATTCCAGATCTTTCTCAGTAGGTCGACCGTGATCATTCTTTGGTGGACTGTTACAGGTAATACATGGGACACAGCCTAGTTTGATCCAATGATCCAAGCTCAAAGATCTCCATGGAACGCTGGTTTGGGACACAACCTATGCATTAATCGTCGACTGAACAGAGCCGGGAGCGTTGCCTCGCCGAGAAAACCCAAACGTCCTGCAAAGAACCAGCACGTCGGCGACGAGAGCCCAGCGCCATTGGGTTTACCAGAAACCTGGTCACAGGTCTCGGGACGGAACGAGGGATGTGGACGGTGTGCATATGGATTTGCATGTGTATTAATCTAGTACACGAGTGACATTAGTGTATTTGATTCGATCTTTAGTCAGTAGTTGCACAGTGGCACCTCTTATCCTAATGCGCTCGTGCTTCCGATGAGCCAAGGATGGACAATAAGATACAAAATATGCATACGATACTTCCAACAAAATAGACACAATAATTATATTAGCTGTTAGATCATTGCAGGAGCTAGGCAGTATCTCAAGATGTTATAGGGACAGTTGCATTCCACAATACGTTAACAAATATGTTGTACGTATTGTTCTGTGTTGGTTGGCATTCATTCATTTGGATGCAACACACCGAATGATATCGACTCCATGTTTCGTGCACGCAGGTGCGCAGCTGAGTCTTTGAATGAATGCTGTCCAAAGCAGCCCACTGGGCTCTAGTTCAGACGGGCGTCATGTAGACAAACCACCTCAATATGAATTGTGGCCATGGGAACAAACTCCAAGTATAATCAAGTATAATATAATGTTGGTTAATGTACTTTCCACTAGGTTATTTTGAGTGCCACCGGCCAGGCTTGCTCCCTGCTTGCGATGTCTTGCACGTAAAAGACTGTTTGTTCCTCGTTTCCGCTATGATCTGCCTTAGGTCAAACACCTGGCCCGTTCCTAAACATGATCGCCTTTTTCCGTCACTCACCCAGCCTTCCCTGTACATCTGCTGGCGTGGCCACGTGCCGCGACGCTCCGCCCCGGTGGAACTGCAGGTGGGAGTGGAGACCAGTGACGCACCCAAGCTACAAGTCCCTACCTTGTCAAATGGGAATGAAACTGCCAGCGAAAAGCGTTGCAGCACCCAAGCGCGGTGCAGTGGAACTGTAGTTCTTGACCTACACAGACTTTGGCAGATCTTGTATGATCCCGGTAGAACCCACTGCTTTGCCATCAACCTCCGAACCTCGGCTGGTTCGGGACCTTCGCTCTGCACGGATTGGAGGCCGACCCCGGGGAGACGGATGAACCGACGGACCCCAGGAGCGGCCGAGCCGACCATGCTCACCTGCCCGAGGCTGGCCCGTGGAAACCTCGAACAACTGGACGAGATCTTCTGAAGTGGTGGAGGTGTTGTTTCAAGAAATTGATGGTTTCTGTTGCCAAGAAATGTCAAGAGGTTGCCAGCATATTCTGAAAGTTAAGCCTCGTCAAGCAGCTTCCAACACATGAATCTGGGAAGACTGCGCCTGCCATTCAGGTGTTGAACAATGCCTCTGGACTCTGGACTCCTCTCACCTTGGTGTCCACCTGTCACCAGACTTTACATGGCTTTCTAGCGTGTTTTTGTACACGCCACGGAGCTCATAAGCGGCGCTCCGAAGAACCAGTTTGTTCCTCGTAAAAATGGCCCTTAACGGACCCGGACCCGGAAGGCCTTCCAGCCATGCGACTTGTTGAACTGGGAAATCATTCCAAACGGATCAGGGCATGAACACATCACCACAAGAGCACACCAGTGGAAATCGGAACCTTGGACGGAAGAGCAAGCTCTTGATAAACAAGGTACACAACCTGAAACTCAATATTATATATATATATATGAACCCCCATCTAAGTCCTTTTGAAGAAATACCTGAATTATCCTGAAATGCATCCAAACATCTCTCACATCATATCCTTCTACACAGGCTGGAAATTCCGAAATCCTGCCATGGCGAAGACCAAATCAAAAGAACCGGCTGAACAGCCGTTCAGAACGTGCTGTTGCTTCAGCTCTGGTCCCATGAACCGTCATGAACCTTCCGATTCGGTCGCATTTCTGAAGAGCCATGGACGTTCATCTTCAGCGAGCTTTTTCCTCGTTTTTCTACGGCCCGTCGCGTGCCCGCGGAACGGCACCCTTCGGAACGTCTCAATCCTTGGGCGCCGAAGACAGCGAGGAGGGGGGGCGCTGGCCGTTTTCGGATCGGGTCCCGATCCAGGCATGGAAACCGCACAGACCATCCATGGGACTATGTTACCTCATGAAAAGAACATACCCCTTAATGATCTCTAATATTTATAAATATTCCATACATGGATGGTCTGGCAAGGATCCTCTTCTACTCAGAGAGGCTTGAGACGACACACACTGGCTCACAAAACGAGCCGACTCAGCAGGACCAGCTGTTTTGATCAAGCAAGTAGTTGAATCCAAGTTCCCCACGCAGGTCTGAACATGGCCCAAACACAGAACAGATCAGAACAGTCATCCTAAGAATCCCTAGCAGCAGGGACGCTATGCTCGGTGGAGGCCATGCAAGTAGGTTGGAGGCCATCGCTACGAACGGAGCTTCTAAGCGGGTGGAGGCCCTCCAAACCGCTCTTCGCATTTCGCCCTCCAAGGCGCAAACAACTTCTCCTCGCGCAGCAGTCTCGGCTCGGCCCGGGCTAGTTGGGGGTCTTGGGCCACCATGGCGTCATAGGCCACCTGAACTGCCTGGCCAGCGGACAAAACACGCCACGCTTCGCGAACGGTTGACCGCGCGGAGCGAGCGATCGCGAAGGAAGAACCCTGTTGGAGCGTGGTGAAGAAAACGGCAAAGGAGCAGTGGTGCAGAAAACCTGAGCTGAGTGCAAAAGAAACAGCGAACAACATCAACGTTTACGAAGCATACTGCTAAAACCACGAGAAGCAAGCGGGCCCTTTTGGTTCTGAATCTTGAACCAGCAAGTGGTAGAAGTAATTATGAAGTATTATAAAGTAATTGAGTCTAAAGGCCAATCTGAACGGGGGGGCGGGAGTTCTGAGAAAGCCAACCCGATATTTTTGGGGTACTGATCTGCCGAAATTGCTGAACATATGATCAAAGCCTCTTGCGATCAAATCTCCCTTCTGCAAATAGGGAATCCCCAGTGCCTCATCTCTGGCAAGTGTGTTTCCTCTTCAATCCAAACAACGTCAGCGTTGGCATGTTGATCAATCAAAGAAAGCATACATTAATTTCAAGAGTATCTATATAGTATCTCTTAAAAAGGAACCATGAACTTCATTAGACGTGGATCATGTATAACTTTAGAGATTGTTACTTGAGTGTACATGAGATCTTGGCCCACGGAACCACCCCTTTAAAAGGTGCAGAGTCCGCAGAGTGATGGGTCGACTTCTGACTTCTCTTGATTTGGCTTTTTCTCATGTGCCAAGTCCGAAAATCTTGAGGTGTACCTGTGGAAGTTTGGTGAACCCATCTCGAAGCTCAAGATCTGCAGACGGCGTGCTTCATGAAGAATCCGGAGTTGGAACACCTTTATGGCCGCAGAACCTGGTGTCAAGATCCACCCTCCCCCGTCGCCTTCAGGAATGGCGCATCCACCTGAGCGAAGTTTGACAACACAGGAGAACCGTATCAGCTTCTTCAAACATGTGCTTTTTGTAGAGTGCCAAGTGAAAGCTTCACATGATTTCACATCTTTAGTCATGCTGTTTGTAGTTTTGCTGAATTTACTATTTCTATACTCAAATCAACATCTCAACAAAGTAGCAGCGGGGCACGATTTCGATGCTCCCTCAGCCCTTGGAAGCAAACATATTGTATCTGCTTTAACATGTTTTAACATACACCCAACCAAACATCTTGTGTCCCGTCAATATATCCGTGCACAGTATGCACATGCTCTACTAATTAAAAGTGTATGAACCCTTGTGCATCAGCATCATTTAACTCACTAGAATGCTCCGAATACCCCAAATACCGCTATAGACGTGTACCATTCCCAACCCATCTTCGCTTTCGGGTCGACATTCTATAGTCTCAAAAAACACAAAAAATTCCCCCGTGCAGTGCCGCCATATGCCTTCCTTTTCTATCCCAAGCCACTGTCTTCAGTGCTTCAGCATCATAGGAATAGCCCAGCCCCACGGTACCCTTTGGCCCGGCACGGCCCATCATCTGCAGTCCAACGGGATGTTGGCTCGCGTCCAGACCCGCTGGGATCATCATCTTCGGCAAGGGGATGTGCTTCATGGACAAGGAATGCCTCAAAAGGTCGGATTTCTGGTGGGTTTCTGTGCAACACGGACGAACGTACCTTCGCGTGGCACAAAGCAGATTGAAGGACCGTGTCGGGTTTCTGGTGCGGAGATGCAAGAGATACGCTGCTCAGAACCATGACAGTGAGTTCAGTGCCAGCAAGCTAGGGTACGTCAAGTTCCTATACGACAGTTTTAAGCAGTACAGTAAGAAAACGGCTCACTTCCTATGCTTCCCTGCTTGAATCACTACAACCACGCCTAAAGCCAGCTGAACTTGACACAAACTCACCGGCGCTCTTCTTAAGTTCCTTGCCAAAAGTCAGTACAGCACCCGCTGCCATTCACCTATATAGATCTACCTACATCACTAACCAACGAAAGAATCTACAAACAGTCAAACAGTCTGCAAAAAAACTCCACCCAATGTTCGACCGGCAACGACGATGCCAAAGCCGACGTGGCGCATGAAGATCTGGTGCAGCGAGGAAAATTCCTTCGATGGCCGGAGGACAACAGGATGAAATTAAATTACTAGTAGCCTTCTTTGCTAGTAATTTTAGATTCTAATGGCAAAGTCTATATTAAACTTAATTCTACTAGCAAGGCACTTGTTACTACTAGTAAGGCACTTGTTACGAACGTAGCGATGCACTTGCTCCTCTGGTGAGTGGACTGGGAGACCGCACCCCAAGACTGCATTGAGGCCACAGCTTTTGATGGAGGATTTAGGACCCCAATGTGCCACTGCTGTGCGGAAAAAAACACATATGTATCAGCTCCATGTATATATATATATATATTTTTGAGGGATGGTCAAAACGAGTCAAAACGAGTCAACACTAACTATTATTACTGTTACTATTGTTATTCAACTAAAAATGGACGTTATCGGTTTTGAATTGGACCATATTGGACCTTATTTTGCAGGGCTTTGTGCACAAACCTACCCCTCTTTACTAAAGTTGTCTTCGCATGTTTTGACCGTAGCTCATATTTAGATTCTATTCATGTCTTCCATACATGGAGTGGGGAAAGAAGCTTTGTGAGATTATGTGCGTTTCAATCGTGAGGAAAAGTTTCTTCTGAACATGTTTATGCTTTGACATCCTCCAGGAGAAACAAAGAACTAATCCCAACCAAAGACCCCTGAATCTTTCAGTGGCTTTCAGTGGCCTCTTAGCCCAACAGCCAATCATGTTCAATCCAAAAAACATGACTAATCCGGAAAAGACCAGCAATGCAGGTTGTATCTATTCCAGGATCTCCAAACATATCGACCAAACACCTTCTGCCGTCAGGACTCCGCACTGGATCGTATTTCTCCGCTGGTCAGGTTCCTGAGCATGTGAGCTCTCGGGATCCACCGAAGGCCACAGCTTCTGTGAGTAGACCCCCACCACCAATCCAATCACCATCCAAACTGGGGTGGTGCCGATTCGACGCATGGTCCCGGCGCCAATGCACTTCCAGAAGCTCATATACATCTATCGTGACAAACCATCACCAAACTCCGGTTGGAGCTGCAAACAATCGTGCATATGTTCAGTATCGTCATATATGCACTGATACAAACTTCTCCCAAGCCCAAAGAAAACAGTACAATAATATATTAATATAGAGAGGGTATTAGAGAGGGTGCTATTACAAAACGGTAGAGTGCTTCAAGAAACTGGAACAAAAGGATTGTCTATCAATATACCGCTCTGTGTAGGAACAACCACGTACACAACCCTGAAGAGGAGGCGGTGCAGCTGTCCTCCCTAGATTTCTTCCACTCCATTGGCATTCTCCCAGAAAACTGGAAAAAACCCTAAGGATCCCTAAGGAACGATTGCAGGCCTCCCGTCTCGGTGGTTATATAAACAGACCTGAGGGAACAGGTTGAGTCCAGACTCTGGGCCTTTCGACGGGACGCTTTTTTTGGTTGGAGAAACACCACTGTATAAAGACCACTCTCGCTTTGGGAGAGAAATGCGTCGTGTACGAGCGACAGAAGCCGACATGCGACCAATGCTTCGCGTCATTGCATCGCTCAGAATCGAAGGCACCGAGCTCGGCAGGGAACCCAAGGCTCGGAAGGAGCCAAAGTCTGATTGGCTCATTGGCAAAAGAAAACACCGACGAGCTTGGGGATAGCGGCGGGTGTGATATTCAAAGGTTTCATGGAAAATAGACAGATAATGGAAAACCTGTACAGTATGGAAGAAGACGACTAAAAAGAACAGGAACTTGGTCGCAATGCCTTAATGTTGCATGACCCCATCTTTCCTTCCGATCCCTTTGAACGACTCATCATGGATCCCCTTTTTATACATGTCTAAGTTTTATTATGATCTACTGTTTCATTATTTGGGTCAATGATGATCAATGGCTTGGGCTTTTGGGGCACCCAGGGGGGCACATGTCATTCCCTCTTTCAGAGAAAAACACGGTGACAGGACGGCCACATCCCAAGGATCTTCACTTGATGTTCGCAGGTGGATGAGGCCACGCAGTCGTACGTCGGGACGTGCCTGCGTTGGGTCCGGACCGTCGAAACGGAGACCGTTTTGGATGCACAGAATTGGATTTCAATGATCAAAACAGAGTAAAAGCCATGGTCAATAACTAATGCACACACAAACATCTGTGCGAACCACGATGTGTTTGCTTGTTTCATGGCGATGATCCACTCTTGGAACACGGATGTTGAACAGTTTTGTTTGTTTTTGTGCAGATGTGTTATCTCTTGCACATCCACTCCCGCATAGATGCCCCCTGGCAGGTTTCCTTTGAGGTGGTGAACCCGTTTTCAACATGTAAAGCCTGTCTGACCTACTGTTCCGAGATGAAAATTCCTACCAACGTGTCTGGATAAAAAGTTATTAAAAACATAACAAAATCACACCCTACGTTCCGGGCTTTGGGATGAAATGCACTTGTCGATGCTTTCAACCCTGACAGCACGATTTAAACAATCAGTTGCTTTAGGATTAATCAGCCGCAAGTAGAGGTTGACAAAAGATTTAAAACCACCAATGCTTACTATATCCAGTAACGAGATGTAATGAGGCATCTTCATCCAGTTAGCCGGTTAACCGGATGCGCCCCCTGCCTCGAAACTCAAAAACTGACATGTTCACTGAATCCTCCAATCATTTACTCTAGGGCCATTGCAAGGGCGTTTCTTCCGTCCAAGTTCCTTGCAGCTGAGTCACAGAAATCCTGGCACCAAAATGAGATCCTTACTCGAGGAAGCACCAAGTCCCCAACTGTTGAACATTGAATGACATTGTATGCACTCCCCTTAATCGTGTTTGCTTCGCTTGTTCTTTTGTTCTATCCCTGCCCAGAAAATCCAACATAGAATCGTCTGTCTCAAGCCCTTTGTTGCCAACCTTTGGGTGACTTGGAAACAGCTCAGCTCATCCATCTTCCAGCCACGTCTCCAAGTCTTCCTGATCAAAGAGTCGATTCCAGGCCGCCTGCCCCGCCAAGCGCAGCTCCTGAACGACCACGACCCGCCGGTGTCGTGGACGACCGGTGTATCCAAATGCTCCCCGACCGGCTTGGAGTCCCACAAGATGGGTGTCACTGTCGATCCTGCGATGACAAGACCTGACACAAAAGCTTCCAGGGGTGCTCCACCCCATGGAGTGTGCTGAGGATGAAGGAGATTGATTCGACACGGTTGATCATCTACCTAGTAGTAACCAGCAACATGGCCCGTGTGGCAAAGGGATAGCATGCTTATTTCTTCCAAAGTATGCTAGAAAGCTAGCCATCACCCAAAGGAATCACGAGAGAAGTGCCAACATACAGAAAGCACCTCCATTCAAGTGCCCCCCTTAGTTCATACCCCAAGCATCATCCTTCACCCCATTTCACCCAGGCCCGCCCAGAATCCTGCAAGATGAAGCTGAACTTGGTCTCATCCAGCTCGAGCTCCATGAAGCGCCCCGGTGTGTGCCCCAGCCCCGCACTCCGCGCGTGCGCGATCACGTCCGCGATGCTGACGTCATCCGCGCCCAAGTAGTCATGAATCCATTGAGCTACCTGGAGACCAAACATACTTATATGCAAATGCGTATATATTCATACACTCAACTTAATTGAGCAAAAAGAACCTGATCCATCCTGATCCCCATCATCTCTACCATCAGAGATTTGAGGTGTAAAACCATGCCAATCTCCCAGCCCCAGTGAGCCTTACACCCTCTGGAAACACACCTGCCAGCATCAGCTCGCAAATGACGTCAGGGAAGGACCCTACTGGAAGGCCCCCGGGGAGGGTGACATGATGGAAGGTGGATCCACCCCGTGCAAAGGTCTCCAAACATTCCAAACAGATCGAAGCTTTCTCTGACACACTGGTTCACATGCAACCTGAAGTGGCAAAGGATGCATGGCAAGCTTAGAGCGCCAGTTCATCCAGTTCATCTAATCAAACATTCAAGGAGTTATATACCCAAAACCACTGAGTGAAACTGTACAAATAGTCCTTCCAAATTCCAAATCATCCACTATTGAACACTATTGGTTCCTCTCCCTTAAAGATCATCAGCAAGCTGGGCACATAGTTCGGAACAGCCCACACAGGCGCCCGCATGGCACCGCCATGTCATTCTCTCGAGACTTCTCGTTCTTGGAGGATGATCTGCCGCCAGCTTGTTGACCCACCATGGCCATGTACTTGTATCATCTTCTATCCTTTTTTTGAGTGAGGCTTTACACCTTATGGATGATTCAACCATCAAACACCTCTGTGCAAATGAGTGTGTCTTCTCTGGTTAAGTCCCAGCCCCTCACCCTCTGGCTCGCTCGCCGAATCGAGTCAAACTCGAACGGCTGCCAACGCCTGCCCACTGAAGGTGCCAAAGCTGTGATAGTAGGGGCTCACCGCCTCTGGTGGACGCGAAACCACTTTGTGGAGTGAGTTATTTGTGGCCAGGACCCTCCAAAATCCGCTGAGAAAGGCATGCTATTCGGTTGTTCATCTCCTCCAGCATTGCAAAGCCATCCCTTACCATCTCTTTGCGGTGTGCGTGCGGATGCCTTTTTGGGGGTCAGAAACCACTTCCGCAAGCTTCGAAGCCTCGTTATGAGAAACCAAAAGCGCCAAGATCCGCGCCACGATCCGCCACGCCTCCCCGGCCATCTTCATCAGGAAAAAACGCCTTGGCCAAGACATTCCTTGCGGGTGCCGGCGCCGAGGCTGTCTCGAAGGCAGGGCCGATAAGGGGCGGGTGAAGCAGGAGTACAAGGAGTACAGCAGAACCCACGGAGCATGATGGGGCAAAGGAGAATCACAAAGACACCAGCAAGTAAACTTGTGTTTTGAGACCCCGAGTGAACCCGAGCCACCTATAGGCGATTAAATACTTTCAATGACATTCAGGACTCCAATCAAGACACTGGACAACAGCGCTCCGGTCGTTTGCAGAGTGTTACCTCTATGAGTCATCTACCAGTGGTGACAAGGGGTTGCGACCGTACCCAACGGGAGAAGCAAGCAGCGAAGCTGGTGGTCAACGCATAGCTACGCACAGCTAAGCACGGGCTGACCGAGTACATTCCAAACTTCGGCATATCACCCACCGAACGTTTCACTAAGAGGTAAAAATTGGACTTGGATCCAGCTTATCGCCGGAGTCAGTCCCAGTGTCGTACCCTCCTCGCTGGGCCACTCCTTCTCCACAACCTGTCCGCAAACGTTTGGCGCTTCTCGCTGGCATGTGGAAAAAACAAATCGGGTCTCTCTTCAAAGACAACACCAGTCTCAGGGCGTTGCCGCATTTGTCCTAACATTGTTTCATTGGGTAATGCTGTGTATACAGTCTACCAAGTCTACCACCCTCCAACAAATGTCCTTGAGTCCTTGTCCTGAGCTCTTGAAGTGTTCTTGCCTCCAATGTTCAGTGACCCCAATGATCCCAAGAAATCGCTTGATGATGAGCTTTCCCCGAGCTGTGTCGTCAACAAGCCCGCTTTCGATTCGGAAAGGATCCGAAAGCGGGTTACTCCGGGGTGAGTCTCCCAAAGAACCCCCCAAGCTGGAGCAGTAAATTTGAGATGTTATTTCAAGCAATCAATGTCAATTAAATATACAATTTTAACCAACAAAAGGACCTTGAACACTTCGATAGTACATGAAAGATTGTTCTCCATGATCTGTATTGAGACTCCCCAGGCCAGCCAGGCGCCTGCGCCCCAGCAGCCCTCAATGCCACCTTGGCCGCCTCGTACTTGGCCAAGATCTCCCTGCACGGTGGGGGCAAAAAGAGGTCCAAATGGACATGACTGAGATGGTACCGAAGGTACTCAGCCAATGGACTATAAGAATGTATATACTATCCGAGAAGGGATCCATCAAATGGATATGTACATGTGGCCCTTTTTAGTCCATCAAGTTGCTCCCATTTGCGTGAGAATGCACGTATCCAACGGATAGATGGAAGCTGAGTCTTTCGCTTGTGATGAGTCTGGAAGCTGCGTACAACGACCTCACATGTCACTCAGGTACCAAACAGAATCAAATGCTGGGCATTGAATTCAGTGAGGTGTTTGACACCCTTCTGGCCCTTCTGCTATTATGCCGTGCCTTGTAATTGAATCCACACATCTCCCCGCTTCCGTCGGCCTGGAAGGCACCCAGGCCGTTGGGTACTCGGCAAAGCCCCAGGGGTTGTCCCCACCGGAAGGCACATAGGCCTCGGGCGGAGGGCTTGGACCCCAGTCCAATAAACAGCACTAGTAGCTACTTGCTCCTCGTAGCGATGCCAGGAGCCCCTAGTAGCTTCTTGCTTCTAGTATAGTACGGCCAGGAGCCCCGTTCGTAGAGTTCTTGCTCCGTTCGTAGCGATGCCCTTCGTTACTAGTACTGTTGGTGAAGGTGGGCTCTTGCTCAAGAAAGTCGTCCATCTCCTCCCCTTTTCTTCCGCCTCCACGAAGGGATAGATGGGAACTCCGATCCGTAGGTCCTCACGGAACGGGCACACCCGTTTCACGTCGAAGTCACTCTTCTCCAGTTTCTCATTGGGTACTCACGCTTGACCAATGGGAGGCGAGTCTTTTGAGATGATAAGGGTGGCAGTGCCTCCCAGCTTGCTTTTGCACCAAAGGTTTCCCAGCAAACTTTACAGAATCTGTACTGAATGTCACTGTCAGGCACGAGTCCCGTGTGAACCAACCCAAGTTTGTTAAGTGAACTGCAACTGTTGCCATTATTGCTCATCTTTCCTGTATAGGTTTGCAGGAAAGAATTTGGGTTCCAAAATTGCCTTTATTCGACATAAAAGACTCGGTGTCTGAATGTTCACCCGGTCGAATGGCCTTTGCACCTCATTGAAAGCACGTGGATAGCATGTCTTAGCCTCTAAGCCTGCTCCTCCCGCCATGCGCTCCTGAATCTTCTTCTCCGGCACGCTGCTCGGATCGTAGTCGCCTCGGGCACGGAGTGAACCCAGCGGGTCAGTTCGGCCTGAGATGTTGGGGATACAGGCAGCAAGTGAACCCAGCAGGTTAGGCATGCTCATCTTAGCTGCCTTTGAAAGATCTTCTGGAGAAACAAGAAAAACACATAATCCTGGACCTTCAAGGGGTTTCCAATGGAGGTCCCTTAGTGTAGGGGCTTCCAGCCAGGTGACCCCGACAGAGGCCGGTACTGGATCGGATTGATCTCCCAAATCTGCAAAAAGGTGGGTGTGCACACCCAGAGTAGCCGGGACCCGGCCCGTTGCCTGGGACCGAAGTGAAGGCGCGAGAGAAACACACCGAAGTTTCGAGACAGTGCTCTGCTCTGCGCAGAGTGTGACCAAGTTGCACAAGGCACCATCAAGGGCAACGAGATCCTTCAGACTTCGGGCATTCAAACCCAACTGGTCCAGGATCAAAGACATTCCTGCCAGCTCCCAGCGGCCAAAAACCGCGAAGGCGCCGTCGGGAAAACATCTCACTCCCGGTGGTGTGAAGGGGACCATTCTGGAAGATGAGAGATTCTCACACACGTGCAAATTAAGATCTGATTTCTCTCGTTCAACATCAAGTTGGACACCTTTGGATTGGCAGGATGCATAGCAGTGCATGGTCTACGCCACGAATCCGTAATCCATTGTCCAGTCTGGCTGGAAGATTTCAGAACGTTTCTTTTGTTTCAGCTGGCCAAGTACCAGCCACCACCCTGAATGAGTCGCAAGTGAAGAAACCTCTACAGGCGCTTTTCCTCCGTTTGTTCCGGACAATGACCAAGTTTCTTGCCTTCATTTGAGAGTTTGTCAGAGCAACCCCTAGATACTCCCATAGTCCTATAGTGTCAAGAGACACATGGGACATGGGACCAAGTATCAAGAGTTTCCACCAGCAAAAAAACATCGGTTGGGCACTTGGGCGATGGTGATTTTTTGGCCAAGATCACCTAACTCAGAGCTCTAACTGCGCGTCCTGAGCATCCTAACTGCCGCGTCCTGAGCATCCTAACTGCCGCTTGTTCGTTGCTTTAGTCGCCCTGTTGTGAAACTGAACCTCCTACTCACCAAGGGAAGGCCTCTCGTCTGCCAGCGTTTCTCGTCTGCCAGAGATCTGCAGAAAAAGCAGAGTTCTGAGCATGTGGCACATTGATTTATATATGTCCAAACTCTACCTTCTTGATGTCCCTGTCCTGGATTTCCCGCGTTGGGATAGTGTCCGCGTGTGGGGTCATAGCCAAAGATCCTTAGAGATTCCGCACGGCAAAACTATGTCTATCATTCATTTGCCAAAGGATGCCTTTATAAGGCTCGCCGACATGGGTGAGTCAAAAACTATGCCCGTTACTAGTTACGATGTGATGATGTGTCTTGATGCATATGCTTTGTTTGAACAAGTCCCTCGAAATCTGCAGCTGATCCTGGCGACACACTGGTTACGTGTTGTTGTTGATCCCGAGCCATTAAGGGTCACGTGAGGCTAGTTCCACAACCAAGTTGCGAACACAACTGCGAAGCTTTCTCCATGCATCTCTCTAAGAACATCTTCACCAGTCACCACTTCCCACTCTCCATGTCTCCACATCTGGACCTTCGATTCTGCAGGCCAGTATAGGCCCCACCTATTCATATCCGTCCACTTCCCCTGATTCAAACCTGGAGGGAGGACAGACCCGGACAAACCCCTCCACACCACCGACCAACCGACCCGGACACCGACTCCACTCCATCCAGGCGGCCCGTTGGAGAAGGCCGGCGACCGCGTGGAGCCGCCCGTGTCCTCGCTGACGGCCACGGGCGCCAGGTAGGACGCCACAGCGGAGCCCGCGCCGCCGGAGGAGCCGCCGGAGGTGAGGAGCGGAGCGTGGGGATTCAAGGTGCAGCCGTTGGCATAGTTGCCTGGGATGGAGGGTGAGGTATTGAGGTAGTGGAGGGTGGGTGAAACGTGCGCAGATAGATGTGGAATGTTGTGGATAATTCCCCATTGATCGAGATTTAAGCTTCATCAAAGCCTAGGCTGAACATCTGACAAGAAAACAATCATCGTCCTGACGTCCGAAAGAGGTTTTGTCTATGAAGGGGTTTTGTGGAACTATGACAGAACTGCCTCTTCATGAAGACCATGCTACTTTACCTGAAGCCCCTCCAACCGAGCTGGTTGGTGGGGAACCTCTGTTGTTTAACATATTCTAGTCCATCTTCCCGTGCTATCCTATAGATTTCTACAATCCGTACAAAGTACTAATAGGAGTACCTAGGAGTATTGGAGTTTGTAATCCCCAATTGTCAAACCAGCTGGGGTGGTACCAAACTTTCAAGGCACTGAAACCAAAATAAACAACTGCTGCCAAGATGCAAGTCAATAAGGATGCCGCGAAATCCGGAACATTGGTCTTTCCAAAGACCTCGCAAAACCATGGTCTTTCCAGTCATCGCTGTACAGTTTTTGAACCTCTGATGTGGTGGTTTCGGAGTAGATGGCACAATTCCCCGGAGGTGGTTTAAATATATTTAAATGGACTCCCATATATAAAGGACATCTTTACATGTTTTGTGCCATCTACTCTGAAACGCTGTGTCTAAACTCACGCTCCCCCATGAATCCTTCGCTCAAGCCCTTCGCTTAAGCCCGTCTCGTTCCCTTCGTCTCCACCCATAAAACCGATTCACGGAACAGGATTCCACCCACTTAGCCTGGATCTTCTGGATTGTCCACCAGAACCTCCCCAAGGACTAAGGACGCTGAGCGCGTGTCCGTGGCTGAGTCCAGTGCACCAGATTCACTAGTGAATCGGAAGAGAGCGGATTCCGGTTTGTCCGAAGGTGGTGGGACCTTTTTTTTATGTTTGAGCTCCAAGTCTGATTGACAACCAATGCGCGCAGCTATGTTCTCACCCCTCCGTGGGGTGCGACCCTCCGGATGAAGCATGGTCGGTCGGGCTCACGAGGGCCAACCTTGCGATCAGAAACCTCTCCAAAGGTCTTCCAAAAGATTGGGACATGACCTGACAAAGGGAGAAACATGGGAGAACACATAACATTGTTCAAGGTACTTGCACTTGCCTACCTAGTGGATCAACGCACCAGTTTAACCAGTTCTTCAGTAACGCACCAGTTTAACCGGTGCTTTAGCAAAATGGGAGCTGGAAGCTTGAAAAGGCCGTGAAAAAACATGTGAAAAGGACGTGAACAACCCGTGAACACAGGGTGAAAGGCCGTCCAAAACCGGTGAACATTACTGTATAGGTCTTGGAAGTTGGAAGGTGAAATGCGTCCTTTACTCTAAGGCACCAGCTTCACCCATCCTTTGGACTTGCTGGGCTAGGTTGGATGACCGCTTCTAGCTTTTGAGAACCACCAAACCGGCCTACGGGACGCTCCAGGTTCAACCGATGGGACTCCGACCCCCCCCACCCCTGGATTCGGTTCGGAAAAACCCACCAGTCTACCCAGCCAGCGGCGGGGGGCCGGGGTGTCTCCTGCAAAATACACACCCATATTCCAACACAAACCATGTGGCCCAATGAGAAATTTGAGAGTGATACACAGCGCTTGAGGCCCAAAGACCACCTCCCATAAATTTTGTTTTTTTGGTTATTCACTCTGCCCACCCAAAGTGCTAGAAACAAAAGTATCCGGGCCCTCAAATGGAAAGGGCTTTGAGGGTGTCCCCTCTTGAGGTCGGGCCCAAAGACTTTCTTAGGGAAGACTGCTTCACGAGTTCATACCCTATAGGGATCCAGTCGTACCTTCTCAGGTACGGTGATGTGTTCGACACTGTCATGTAGGTTTGGAGAGTCCAAATATCTTCTGAGAAGGTACGACTGGATCCCTACAAATAGGAATGATGCCCAGGAACGATGCCATGCTTGGACACGACCAGCTTCACCTAACTGACCCAACGTTGCGAAGGCAGGGACACGTTGCTTGGTGTCCCTCGGGATGCGGTCTGGTGTCTCCCGGCCTGGTGGGCCTCCCCCCCTTCCAATCTACACAAGACATATTACAGTGGATTGAGAGTAGATGGCACAATCCCCAAAACGTGGTTTATATGGATCTCCATGTAAAAGACATCTTGGGGGTTGTGCTATCTACTCTGAAACCACTGTATGTGTGTGTATGTGTATGTATATAAAGTTGGCAGTATTTGGTTACTGTCACTGTATGTCACTGTTCCCTCCCAATTCCATTGGTGTCGCAAACAATGGGCACATTCATAAACATCGCGATCCATTACGATCATCCTTGGCCCCTTGGCGTGGTAAGAGGAGTGGACAGACTCCTCATCCCCGACCCGACGTGTCTCAACACAGGCTCCGGTGGGAGTTCGCTTTCCTGTCGCTCAGTCGTCGAGAAACTCGACTGTCGCTCTTTCGCTCAGGACGAGTGGTTGGTGGATTCAGAGACATGAAGTTCCAGTCGAGCCAAAAAAAAGGAGAAATCCCACACCACAGCATTGTAGCTCCTCAAGCTTTCTGGGCCCTCCAAATGATTGTTTCAAAGATGCGAAGGCAGGGCGGTTTGGTTGAAGACCTGCTTCATGTCCAATTCCATCAAAAGCGACAAACGATGGATTCCAACATATTCCATCGGTTGGCTTGTCCTCCACATGATCAAGACAAACATACCTGGACCGTCCCAGGAATATCCAGGAAGGAATATATAGAAAAAGTTAGCCAAACATCCTGGGAACTTGGAAACCACATATAATCCCTCACTGAGACCCACAAACTGAAAACACACCAGATTGCTGCTATATAGGTTCTGTTTGTTTGTTTTTGATAATCTTGCTGCTCTTCCGCTTCGCCCCGCTCGTTCCATGACGCGCGGCAAACTCGGCATCCTCCCGGGCGCGCCGGTGATGCAGCACGCCGCTCCCCGCCGAACTGATGAACTCCTTCGTGGCCATGGTCCCCTTCCTGGGCCAAGTTGGTCGCCGTCCGGCGGCGAAAAGCCCAGTTTGTCCCTGAAGATCTCACACCTGACGTCATTGTAGATTTGTTCATCACTGACATCTGGAGTGAATGGAGTGAGGTGGCAAAGGTCAAGTATTTTGTTAGTCTCAAGAAAATCTTCAGTGTGAACGGAACACCTCCCCCAATTTCAATACCTGCAGGAAACTCTGCGGTTCGGGTGAACATTGGTGCCCCATGGCGTCAAAACCATGCCGGGAACAGTACAACACTTGGAAATCTCGCATTATCACTAGAGGATGGTTGGGGTAACATGAACCCAGGAGATCCAAATGGTTGAGCCCATTTCCCTCCACCAGTTCTGGTGGATGACTAGACGTAACCCTTTTTGGGGAACAACTGTATGCTGTGCTTTCTGGGACCCTGACAAAAAATTGGATTAACTTGAGTTTGACTTTCTTGCTCCGAACATGGAGGTTCCAGTACCTCATAGTACCTCCAAACATAGGGGGGCTCCAGAGCCTGAACATGACATGAACGGAAACATACTTTTTGTTTGGGCTCAGAACCGCCCAACCGCTTCCGGAAGTCCGTTGGGAGCAAATAGAACTGAACTCCTGTAGGAGCACCTGGGCACTCGATATTGAATATCTGATGTCCATTGGCCTTGAAACGAACAGTCACAATGAAGCACTTGTCCCCGATCCATCCTTTCCTCAGGGTGTCGTCAAGCGTCATGGGCAGCGGCAAGCCATACAGCGGCGCCAGGGTGTCAATGCCCTGCTGGGCCGCCTGGGCGTCCAACCTGGGCGGAACGCGTCTGGGTCCGGGTCACGGATCGGCTTGATCGGCTTGCGGTCGTCCGGTGAAGCATCAGCGAAACCCTGGGACCGGACGACTCCAAGCGTGATCGTTCACTGTAGATAGAAGGCCAGCTGTGCAGCTGCGTGAGAGGTCGCTCCTTGGACAGCTCAAGACCATGAGCTGCCTGATGCCACGGGACTCTTACATTACAGGTCTTACAAACCTTGCAAACCTTCAGGACATTGATGATTTTGTCCATCTAATCTACTGTAGTCTCTGGAAACTGGCAATTTGAACATCTACTCAACATAATTCTACTGCTTCTCCTGAAGCTGCATTGATTTCTTTCAGCAACGAAACACCCAGCCGCACCTGCGTGCATGGTCCAGCACTCGCTCAGTCCAATGAGGATCGTTGTCCCAATTCCTCGGTCGGGCCGCTGGGTCCGGACCGACGGTGCTGATCCGTTTTCCTCGTGGGTCCGTTCCAGCAGGGTGGATCGACGTGGGAAATGGGAAGAGCATGAAATGCACGAAATCTGGGTTGAAATGCCACGTTCCGTGTTAGTTACACAAAGAGTAGGACATAGCACGACATACTGGACATACCTGGCTGGAGATCCCTAAGTAGGATCGCGACACTCAGCATGGTCTAGGTGCATTCACCCCGAAATCACCGCGTACCATGTAAAGATGTCGTACATGGAGTGTCTGGGATATGATTCTTTACTGCTATGCTATCCCGGTCGGAATGGTGGGTCTAGCCTCTCCGTGTGTTACGAGTAGCATCATTCAAAATCACAAAGGAAGGGAGGACACAGGCTGGTTGGAGCGCCATCCGAATGCGATCCATTGAGCGCCATCCGAATGCGATCCATTGACACATCAAAGGAAATCACATGAAATAATTCATCACATGAGGGACCGTTGAAGTCTCAAGGTTTCTTTGCCTTGTCAACTGGTCTATGCTGCAAGTATCCCTCCTCTTCTGGGGAATGGAATTTCTACTGGAGAAAAGCGCCTTCCCTGTCATGAAACACACAGCTTTGTCTCCACATGAACGTTGTCCATTTGTTTCCCAGTGATCTGCACAAAAAAGAACAACACACACGATGCGGGGGGAAAACGGTTTAGGCCGCTTCCTTGCCTTGTTTCAGCCCCACTCTGACCATTTTCCAAGCTACATGAATTGATTCATCTCTCGGTAGTGCTTGGCTCGCTTCACCAAGGAGCTCACATATTCCTGTCTTTCGAAGCTGCAGGCAAGAGAGTTTCTGTGCCCCACTGTAGCTAATGGAACTCATGACCTACTTGGCACGCAAAAAAAAGAGCCCAGCCAAGCCATTCAGCTGATATCACTGATATCCCAATCTTGATATCCCAAGTGGTCTTCCTGGTGTATCAAAGCCTCGAGTTCAAACATCACTCGTTCGTGGTCCAACCACCTTGTGGGTGTTGGCCTCCACCGGCAGCGGGTGTTGGACCCGTCCCGCGCATCGGGAGACAGATCAGGCTGACGACAGAACTGACACCAAGCAAGGCTTCAGCGGGTCCAAGCCAGATCACCAAGAGACAGCACGCAGCAAGTCCGGAAGCCATCGAAGGACATGTCTAAGAAAAAGACCAACCATCAAACCATCAGAATACCAACTCTGTTTATCAATTTTATCAGATCCTCAAGGGATCCAAGTCCGAACTCTGAACGATGTACGGGAGAGAGATCATCTTCGATTTCGGTCAGATTTGTCGTTGCACACTGGACACTCCGCGCAATCCATGCACTTCTTAAACAAAGGCAATTGCAACATTTTCAAGTGGTGCTTATGGGACAATCTTGACAGTCTAACAGCAATATACTGAGGATTCTGGGAATCAGACTCCTGGCAGCCCAATAATGAAAGGTTTTAAGTAATTATAAATAAACACCTATAGTGGCTCGGTAAAGATTGATCCCAACATTGCTTTTTGGGCACACTTATATAAATCATTGTAGCAGCTATATGTCTTTTCTACGCAGCTTTCTTGGACATTAAGACTTCATCATCGAACATCCCCTGCCAGTACTTCAATCTTTCCATCAAAATACGCCTGAGCACCGCGGCCTGTATAGATGCTCACGTCCAACCCAACAAAAAATTCCCGTCCGTCCCCCCCGACCTTATATATGCAAACACGCTGGTCACCCAAATGAATAAACCCTAAACCCACCATGGCACGCGCCTCACAAGACACCTCTCCCTTCTTTCTGGCTGCCATATACTCCGCAGCCGACCAGCGCGCCAGTTGCCGCTCCCGCGCCGTGGAGTCGAGAGGTCGACCGGACCAGCGCGGCGGCAAGGCCTCCCGGAACCACTGCGCCACGGCGGGTGGGGCGAGGCCACGGGGTGGGAAGCTCCTGGAGTCGCGTGGAGCACGGACTGGGTGAGCGAACTGGGAACGAACAGGAATGAACTGGGCAGCTCACGTCCGATCCAATGAAGCGAACTGTGTAGACGAACATGCTGCAAAGATTCTAGCAGTTCTAGCCCACCTAAGGCAGGTGATGAATGACAACATATGGAGATTAATCAGATTCGATGTTTAACATCCAATACTTATCCATACTTATATCCATACATTGTGGAGGGAGCATTTTTCAGGAGTCGGCATTAGAAGATCCACACATGTCCAGCTCCTGCTGCGGTTGGTGTCAGCATCAGCACAGGTGTGGTCCGTGATGATTTGACATGTGGTGCCAGAAATGGCCAGCCACAGTCCAATGGAGCGAAGCATCACCGGTTCGGAAGAGCCGGTCGCACCGGTGGCTACGTCAACCCGGCGATCTTGCTTGGAGCCGAGGAGAAGCTACGTCACTTGGCTCGCGGCACCGGTGATATCGCGACATCAAACAGTATGCTGCTTGAAAGAATGACCACATGGTCATAGCACAAAACAGACCAGACCTAATCAAACCACACTTGCAACTTGCAACTCCAAAAAATACGGCTAATCCAATCCAATAAGGCAACATAAATTATGCAATAATAACATACAGCAACCGCCCCAGAACAACAATGTCCGGGGTGTTTGTTAGTTTAATCGACAACTGCATTTGAAGAGAACCGATACATAATTACTCCCTTGTTACTAGTAGCCATGCACTTGTTACTATAGTAGTGATGCACTTGTTACTAGTCGACGTTAGAATAGATACTTATAGAACTGTTCGCATCGAGGTAGGTGTGTAAATCTCCTCTGCCCAGCTCCAACATGACCGTTGATATATGGCTCCGCCGCTGTTTTTATAGGGGACGTCCTCTGCCCGCTGACCGGAAGAACAACGGACGCGCCTTCTTGGCGAAAAGACGCGAGGTCTGAAGGAACCTGCCAGCTGTGCTGGAAGAGGCACTTCCGCGTGCAACTTGCTAACGGTGCTAACCTTGGAACGTTGTTGATCGCTCTTTTCTGGTGACAACCTTTTCTCAGTACTTCCGAACCGAGTCGCGCCGAACCGACCGGGGTCCATGTCGTTTGGTGGACCGTCCTAAAAGCGGTCAGACCTCGGGTCGTTTGGGCACCACTTTTCCCCCCATGAAAAGACTTTGGGAGAGATCTCCATGTCAGGTGCCCTGCAACACTTGGTCTCACTCGACTCGGTCTGATGCTGTACGTGGCCCTTTCCAAAGCCAGGGTCCACATGGATTCACCTGGGTTTTACAAGCACCCCTCATGCACTTCAAGGACGTTCCAGGGCTCACTGCCCTGCGAGATCAGGTTGCTTGAGGTCTTTGCAATCTCACAGTCCAAGCAATGGAAGTCAGTGATTTGTCTACACTCCGACCCAACACACTGGACCCAATGCCGCAAGCGCGCGGAAGGAGTACTGCGCAAGCAGCGGCGCGCGTCAAGGCATCAAGCAAGTTTGCAAACCAGCCCATTCTTTGGCTAACTTCAGGAACACATCATACACACATGCACCCTTGTCCCTGTGACGTGCTCGCCATGAGAGAGTTGGTACAGTAGTGTGTTCCGAACCTTAATGCACGAGCTTAAACCATTTGCCTCCCAGTATCCACGCTACCCCAAAGCATCGACGGAGGATCTTGTGCAACAGCATCTCCCTTGCATCTACGATCTCTTCGCGAAGCTCCGAATCCTTTTTTTTGACAGGTGAAGCTTTTTGGAGTGAAATAATCATGGGCCAAGTTGGATCGCGTGGTCTCGTCCTTTTCATCGTTCAGACGGTTTCGGACCCTGCGGACAGAAACCTCCGCCCCAAAACACCCCGGCCAAAGCCCTTTTTAGCGTGGCCCGCATCTTAGGAAGGTCTTGGTCCACAAAAATGATGCTCACCTTGGATTCTTGAAAATTATTGAGATAACTCACCACTATAGATGGGAGTCATGGTCACAGTCATGGTTGATGAAGATTGTATACTCATTTGGACACCAACTGGTGGGTAACAAATGACATTAGACTGCAAACAAAACTCCACTGCAAAATCTTCATGAGAGATGTTCCGTGGTGTGTCCCTCATCTTACCATGCCTTCGCTGTGACCGTGCCAAGAACTATGGAACAAAGGGGCCTCCAGGGGAAATCCGGAAATCCGGTGAGCACTCTTGCGCGCTCAGAGGCCAATGCCAGGAGGCCAAAATAGTACGAGGCCATGCCACAGGCGGGTCTCAGGCGGTTTTCAGAGGGTTCTATCTATAATTGTCTCATATGTGTTGAGGGACAAACATATATAAGCAGCCGAACAGCTGTGCCACAGAAAGGTGGCAAGATGCAAATGTTTCAATATTCATCATCGACGGCAGCATGGCCAAATTAAAGCTTCGCAATCATCCACACCGGGGTGCTCTTCAGTCTCATCTGCCCCGTGTAGATCTCGGTGGTGGCTTCGGACAAGTTAAGAAAACTCATTGGCAGAACATGCAAGCGGTGCAGCAGGAAAAAACGGTGGGGAAACACAAATCACAAGCTGGAGCTTGAACATTGACCCCTCAATGGCGAAGCACCTTGTGAAAGTCCTGCGCTTAAAGCAAGGCTCGCAGCTCCATGTACCAAGATAAATGGGTCTGAGAAAAATAGGTCCTTCTCGCACAAGCACCTGGGCAAGGACCCATCTTGCAAAACAAAGACCGCAAGCGGTTCGGACTGGTTGTGGCGCGAATTCCATATTAGGCCGATCATACCGAGGGGTTTATAAGCAATAAACCAATGGATTCGAGTCAATTTTCCTCTGAGCAGGGACATACCCCTTTGTTGTCCCATGTTTCCTACCTCTTTTTCGCAGTTGTCGATGGCATGACCTCAAAGACAAAGCAAAAACACTAAGTGCCCTGAGAATCAAGACACGTTCCACTTTCCTTTCAAGGCTTGGTCTGCTACGATACTGCACCTTGCCTAAATTCCACTTGAGCTGTGCTCTCGGAAATGGATATATAGCATTATATAGTACACACAGTGACACACAGTAATCAGTCATGGTGTGTACCAAATGGTACAAACGATGCATGTAATTGCATGTATACTTGTATATGGATGTATATATGCTACAATTGCAATATACAATGTTGATAATCAGTTACACATTACACATCATTAAACAACGTTGCGTAGTGTTAGTTCAATCATACTTGAAGGATCACGTGGGATAGTAAGTGCTTACCCCAAATAGTGAAGTTACTATCCTGTGCTAAGTCAGGTTGTAAGTGTGTCTATGTTTGGTTATAAGTCTTCCATATAGGCCATGGGAGTTGTTCAATTTAGTAACTATTTACATGACAGTAGTATTTGATGTTTTTAAATGATCAATTTACCAATTGATTAGTGCACTTAGAAGTGTTCAAAGCCTAACTGGTCTAACTATAGTTAGCCTACTTAGAGGGTTCCTGTTATTTTTTTATCAACGAACGTGCTATCAAGAATGGCATTGATGTATACAGTTTCCCACCAAACGCAACATAGTTTTTTTAGACCACCTATCTCGCGTTCCAAGCATCGGCCAGGCCCTTTTTTCAGGTCACCAGCCGCTGGCTTTGCAGGCACCAGGGCATGGCTACTTCAGCCAAGGTGCCAGCCCCTTCCGCTGCAGCGCTTCGGCAAGGTTGGGGAAATCAAGGGTTTATGAGTGTCTGATCAGACAATATTGTTATATGCATGTGTTGTTCATGATATCTCGTTGTCATGTAAGTTGTTTTAAACCCATATATATTCATGAAATATGTATACTGTTGATGGCATCTCGTTGTCAGGGCAGTTTGCTCGACGACAGGGATGCCTATATAGTGGTTCCATATATATATATATCATGATATATGAACTATGATGAAACGACATGATTCAGAGTGTCAGGCTTTGATCCCAACATGTCATGTGGAAGCGTGCTGGTGCATTTGTATAACGCCGTGCATTTTACAAATCAAGTTGGTGCGATCGATTTGACCTTGCCCGCCGTGATTGCCGCACGCGTTCACCATGGCCATTCCTGAGACCGTTGTTGGTGAAGTGAAGGCACTCATCCACAGTGCGACCGAGTCAGGGATGGCAAAGGCTGTGCATGGGGCTTTGCGTTGTCTTGAGACTGCCGGGTTCTTCTACAAGCTGAAGATTCACTCCAGGCACGTGGGATGTCACCCGCAAAACAGGGATTGATCCGGCATCAACAGCGTTGATGTTCACGAGTTGCTGGACGATGTCCTCACGACCGGCTTCGTCCTGGACCGTGTGAACGCTGTGGGTGTTGAGGTCTCCTCCGACAATGAGCTGCAGTGGAATGAGAAATTGGTGAAGAGTGCCAATGGGGCGTTGGGCACTATGGACACGTCTCAGCTCAAGGTGCTGAGCTTGAGTGGAAGTCACACCAACTTCGTGTGCTGCATCCTGGACCAAGAAGCAGCGCGCAACACTTCAGAGATGGTGACCAGCAATGGCCAGCTCAGCCAGGAGATGCTGAAGAGAGTTGACCCGAACTTCCATCAGGCGGTGGAAGAAGGGTACGAATGGAAGGTGCTTGCAAAGGCAGTGACGCTCCAAATCCCTGAGTTGTTGGGGATTGTACAGCGGATGGGAAACGCCAATTTGAACCGTGCAGAGCATGAACTTCAGCTGCTTCGCCGACTGCACTCGATCCACGTCAATCAACAGAGCATGGGACTCCCTGTTGATTATCAGAGAGTACGCAAGCTGGCAGGTCAGGGCGTGAGTGGCCCAATTGTGAAATCCATGCCACACCTCTATTCATTCATGCTCAAAGCTGGTGGAGGGGTCACTCCATGGTTGCTGATTGAGACAGAGAACTTCGTCCGGACCAACACGCCTTCCACGAAGATCTTGGGTCCTGAGATCTGGGCAGCTCTTTCTGTGGATGTGAAGGGGCCTTCTCAGTTCATCAGATTTCAACATGCAATGGTCACTCGTCACATGTTAAACGTCGACGCAAATATTATATATAACATGTTCAAAATATATATATATATATATATAACCAACTGTATAGTTTAGATTATAATCTCCAATCGAAACCCAGGTGAAGATGGCATACGTCAAGGATCGGCTTCAGGTGTCTGACATCAAGAAAGCCCTAGGGAAAGACCTGCATGATGATGTGATGAAGGCTGAGTTCATCATGAACAAGTGGAGGAACCTGGTCATGGACGCAGGCCTTGACAAGAACAAGCGTGGACTCAGCTTTGCCTTGAGCATGGGTGATATGCTCTGGCTGCTCACACGTTGTCCATTCGACTTGCAGGCGAGAAGCAGTACCAGTCTCCTGAGGGATTGGCACAT